AAAAAAAAAAAAAAATTATGAAAGCCGGGCATGATGGCTCATGCCTGTAATCCCAGCACTTTGGGAGGCTGAAGTGGGTGGACCACCTGAGGTCAGGAGCTCAAGACAAGCCTAGCCAACATGGAGAAACTCTGTCAGTACTAAAAATAAAAAAATTAGCCAGGCATGGTAGTGCACCTGTAATCTCAGCTACTCAGAAGGCTGAGGCATGAGAATTGCTTCAATCCGGGAGTTGGAGATTGTAGTGAGCCAAGATTGCACCACTGCATTTCAGCCTGGATGACAGAGCGAAACACTGTCTCAAAAAAAATATATGGTAAAATAATATGAAATTCATCCAAATTTCAAGTGTATGATTCCATGGTTTTTACTACATTCACAATATTGTGCAACCATCACCCCTATTGAGTTACAGAACATCTTCATCATCTGGTTTCCAAAAGGAAACCAGACCCAGTCACTCCCCACTACCCCTCCTCCAGCCCCTGGGAACTACAGATCTGCTTTACTGCTCTAGAGATTTGCCTACCCTGGATGCTTACTTTATAAATAAAAAGATGAACTAGGGGAAAAATAAATTATGTATCTATATCTGCATCTATATATAAGCAGAGCCCTGTTGATTTTCCTTGTGAAAATAAGCATGTTGAACAAGATAAGCAGATTGTTTTAGGGAGGTGATAAATTTAAATTCCTTCTCGGAACATCAGTTCTTCCCACAATTCTTCCCACAAGCTAACTTTCTCATGCCCCTTGCCCCACTCCCAAAGATTGGTGACAGTTGTTGGAAATACATTCTGACTCACTCACATTCCTGAAAAGAAAAGCCCCTCTGTGATAAAGAAAAACCCATGTCCTGTGGGAGAGTAAGAGTCTATACCCATTCATTTATTGAGAGGAAAGGCTTTTCAGGTTTTATGTTGCAACTGAAAGGAAAACCCACCCTCCCTGCCTGCCTTCCCTTTTTCCCTTTTCTCTCTCCATCTTTCTTTCCTCTGCCTTACAGCCCCCAACAAACCTGGAGCCTGTGCCTTCAGCCAGCTTCCTATAGTTGCAGAGTTGCACAGGATCCCCGGCCGATCCTGGGTTTTCCCAAGATTATTAATCTTGCCTAGTGCATGGCTCACTGCTCCCTAGGCTCCTCCTTGACAAAGCGTCCCAACACCACCAGTTACTTAGATCTTCTGTTAGCAAGCAATCATTCGAAAGCAGGCACTGGAAGGGTCTTTTAAAAAAATCTTTATTATTATAAATTGAACAGAAACTCACAGGAAATAAATGCATAGTTTAATGAATTCTGATAAGGCAAGCACATTTGTAACCACCACTAAATAGAACTCAGCCAGAACCTCTTCCTCCCACCCCTCCCTAAAGGGAACTGCTATCCAGGCTTTTATAGTAATCACTTAAAATTTCAAAAAAGATGTATGCTAATGGATGTTTCTGAAACATTCCACAAAAGCCCAGTCAGTGCCAAAAGAGATATCTTTCCTCAAATAGAAAGATAGAATTAGGTTAATTTTGAAAATTAATTTAAAAAAAAGACAACTAAAGAGAAAACAAGAAAGAATAAAGGAATAATATAATCATTGGTAGGTGTTTGTTACAATACATTGGGTCTCTTTCTATATATCTAGGGGTTGCCTGTGCCTCCCTGTTTATAGCTCAGTGTCAAGATAGCCCTAGACCTCTCTCCTGGATGCTGATTGAATTCCACTTGACTCCGTGGATCTCTTTTGTACAGCTGGATTATTGGCATGTTCTGACACCGGACTGGAACCATATGAGTTTCTTAGTCCCCCTGCCTTTCTAATCTACACAAACTGGACCCTTGCTATAGAAATGCATTTCTGTGAGATAACTTATATTTAGCAACAAGTGACAAAAAAAAAGCCAAGTAAATTGTCTCATTTACTTAAAAACCTGGAGGCAAGCAGTTCCAGAACACCTCAAGAAGAAGTCAGTCTCTGTCATCCTCAGAGTATTGATTTTACTCTGATGTGTGTGGCCTCATAGTTACAATATGGCTGCCCCAGCTCCAGACATCACACACACATGGAAAATAGAGAAAACTAAGTGGGTATGAGTGATGCCAATAAACCAATGCCTCTTTCATGCCTGTCTCTTTTTATCATGCACTAATATCTTTTCCGGGAGCCCCACTCCCTCTGGTGGATTTATTTGTATATCTCTTTGGCCACACTTGGTCATATGGCCACTCCTTTCTGAAGGAAAGCTGGGGAAAGCTTCAGTGCTGGGAATGACAAGAGAAAAGAGTCCAGAATGGCTTTCAGATAGCTGATCAGCTATATCTGCCACATGTTTTAGCTCAGTCACCTAAAAGACCAAGTCTTATGACTTAAGTGACTCTCACTGAGGCTAGATATGTATGGAGAGATCTCCAGGGTAGATTCTTTTACCCTGATTACTCAGGTTGATAATCTCCATCAGCAGTTGCATTTCAACCTATTGAGGCCAGCCAGGTGACATAAAAGAGAGGCTATAACACACACAAGTGGAGAAAGTGATACAGTCTGTGGGGTGTGGGTTGCATGCCCTGCCTAAAGACAGTCAAATTCAGTGCAGTGGCCAAGAAAGCAGACCCTGAGTAGGATTCAGCCCCAGGACCACCAAGATGCTACCCCTACTGATTCCTTTTGGCTCTCCATTTGGGACTCAGACAATGAAACTTGCCCTATAATGCCATGCAATGTGTTTCATTCAATTGCCCAGAATTTGGTGATAGTTTCTTAGTAAGCTCTTTTTATCATCTTAAGAGAGAAAGGCTAATCCTTGTCTACTTTTTCAGACTCTAGGACATGTGCCATGACAAACTGTCAGTACGGCTGTGAAGACACAGAAGAAGGGCCACAGTGTCTGTGTCCATCCTCAGGACTCCGCCTGGCCCCAAATGGAAGAGTCTGTCTAGGTACAGCAGCAGGAATCACCTCCACTCCTCCTTCTCCTTCCTTGACTCCCCCTTTACTAAATCTCTTTTCATTCATCACAATCAGCTTGTTTGACTAGACATTGCAAAATTCTAAAAGTACAGGTTTATATCTATTTTTGAGATATTTTTAGCCACATATGCTCTAGACATATTTTGGGATGCTAAAGAGCACAATTTTCTATTATTTTGTATTGCCTTAATGCCGTAGTGGAAAAGGGATAAAGATAATTTTAGTATATTTGCTATGTACAGTTTATTTAAATTATCATCCAATACAAATTCCCCTACTTATATTTTGTCATTTAATGTATAATCCTAAGGACCCTTGGGTTTTATTCTGGGTCCTAGCTAATATTTTCTGGAAAACTATATTTATTGATTTTTTAGATATAACATTATTGAAAATAGTATATACCTTCTATATCATTTACATTAGCATGTAATCAATTTCATGTTGTCTTTAAAACTTGCTCTAAGTTGTATGAACTAAGTCTAATTAATTTAACTGGAGAAAATGAGCAGATTAAGCCCATCATATTAATTAAGAGAACATAAAAATTATTTGTTTAGAACTTTGAATTTAGTCAAATCCATTGGCTTAGAACCTTCCTCTCTTGCTCTCCCTTGTCTTATTTTGTGTCTTAGTTTTGGGCTCCATAGAAGCTGACCCTGAGCAAGTAGTTGATCTGGGAAGTGATCCCAGGAAACACTGGTTGAGGAGTAGGGAAGTAACCCAGAGAAAGGAAGGCACCAGTGCTGGGTGAATCCAATGAACAGGTTAAATGAGCTAGGGTCACCTTTGGGAGGCAGAGGGAAGCTACCCCTGAATTTTCCCTCTGGGGTGAGGGTGCTGGATATTCATTCATCAACTTCTGTCCTTCATTGATGGGGGGGCTGCTCTGGGACATGACTCTCCAGCACTCCCAGCCTGGCCTGGGTCAGGAGCAAAGCACAGTGTCGTATGTGCAGCAGGCATCCTTTGGCAGGTATGGAAACTTACCTGAGCGCTGAGGAGCTATGGATGGAGCACCCACAGGGCACCTTCAGTGAGTGAAGCAACAGCTTTTTCACTTTGTGCTTTGGTTCCTTTGTGGATTTAAGTTATGTTCAACTATTGAATTGTATATATTCATAACACTTAATTACATTGCACCTATTATACATAATATTTAGAGCAAGTGAGCACTTAGCATTAATGAGGGATGCCAAACTAAATCAGAATGTTGAAAGAGTTCTTAATCTTCTGTGATTTAAAGAAGCACATATGAGTATGATTTCATAATCTTCTGTACTGCAATAGAAATACTTTTCAGTTAAGGTGCTAGATGTTTATTTATCCTAACTATACATAATGTAAAAAAACAAACAAACACTGCATTTAGAAAACTCATCCAAGTTAAACACTTTTTAAAAATATACATGTAAATTAAAATTTTTTATCTCTATTCTTTTAGAATAATCAAAGATTTAATTAGACTCACAGGATTTACTACTTTTTCATATAATAATATTTATATGATGCTAATTCTTTACCAAACTGAATCCAAATTTCTACCCACTTCTTTTAGTGGTTGGGTGCCATTTTTATTGAAAGGGAAAGATGATGTGCATGAAAATTATTGCCAAAAATAATTTTGTTTAACCCAACACTTATTTATTATTTAAAAAATTCAAGAGACCAGTCTGGGCAACATAGCAAGATCCCATCTCTATAAAAAATTTTTTTGTTAAAAATAGCCAGGCCTGGGAGAGGATGGGATAACATGGGGAGAAATGCTGGATATAGTATACACCTAAAGCAAAATTAAAAAAAAAAAAAAAAGATAGCTGGGCATGGTGATGTGCACCTGTAGTCCCAGCTATGCCAGAGGTTGAGGTGGGAGGATCACTTGAGCCTGGGGAGTTTGAGGCTGTAGTGAGCCATGATTGTTCTGCTGCACTCCAGCATGGGCGACAGACCAGACCTTGTCTTAAAAAAAAAAAAAAAAATGCAAGGAAAATAGTAAGACAGCACCAACTTGCATGTTTAAGCCAGATTCAGAAGAACAACCTACCATCTATTTGATTTGGCATTTGAAAGTTAAACCAAGCCTGTGGCTTAGTGGATGGATCAGCATAGCTGTGAGCCCCTCTGTAACCTGACTCTCAATGGTAGAAAAGGAACAATATGCCTATTGTTGGCTAAAATTACATCATTACATAATTACACCAGACCCACAATGTATGCATAAGTACATGCCTTCACAACCCCATTTCTGTGAGTCAATATTGCAGGGGCCTTGGACAGTCTTACCAATGAAGTAGTCATTTTGTAAAATGCAAATTGTAAAAGTGTGTGTGTTTGATTTACTTAAAGCATAGCTATTGGACTCTAGTTTCAAAAATTGTATCTGTTATACAATATACAATATTCACTCAGCTGGGGAAAATACTCACTCAGCACACATGTAATGTATAGGTACCAAGCCAGACACATGCTAACTGCCCAAGAACAGCCAAGGCCTAACAGAAGATGTGAATGTAAGTAATGACATTATAGAAAGATAATGCCTCTTGAAGAGGTATAAAGTAATATAAGTAGATAAAGTGAAGGGCTGTGTCTGTGCCTGGGGGATCTAGAACACTTGCCAGGGGATATGATGTTGGCACCAGTGTACTATAACCAGTTTCCCAGGTAAAGAAACTGCACGTGTGCATGCACAGTACATGCTGTGTGTGTGTGTGTGTGCATGTATGCATGCACGTGGCTACTTTTCTTGCTATCAGTGACACCTTCTGGTTTTACATCCTAGATATTGATGAATGTGCCTCTGGCAAAGCCATCTGTCCCTACAATCGAAGATGTGTGAACACATTTGGAAGCTACTACTGCAAATGTCAAGTTGGTTTCAAACTGCAATATGTCAGTGGCCGATATGACTGTGTAGGTAAGATTTGATGGCACCTTTTCCTTTTTTCTCCTGTCCCCACCAAACCTTTGGGCCTTCTCTGCAGATATTTTGAAGTCAATTCAATCTATTAGTTGAACAATCACTGTGCTGACCAGCTTAACAATAAGGAAAAGATTTTTTAAACGTCTGGCATTTAGGGAATTCCAATGACATCAATCATAAAGCTAGGTCAATAAAGATTTAAAGTAAGGAATACAGCTCTCTTGTGAAAATGACTATCTTGAGATGATTTTGGTGGGACTGCTTTTAACTTGGCGTTTTGTTTTGTTTACATTTTTGGTTCTATCTCCAGTTACACATCTAAAAATGGGAACAACGAAGCAGTATTTATATTTGGTAAAAGGAAGAATAACAAGGTCTGTGTATTCTTGATCTCAGTGGTCTGTTTATAACAGTTTCCATCAGGGGTGGCTTTAGAGAAATGTATGAGAGACAGGAACGCCCATGCTCTTTCCTTTCTCCTCTTTCAGCCCTTTCATAGTTCAAGCTCCAAATATAATGTTCCCTTTCCAGAGTCATGAAAATCGCTCTCTGATAAGATTCTGGTACCAGTCAGCTATTGCCCTAATCTATGTGAAATAAATATTTTGTTCTTTTCCTTAGTGAATGGATTTCAGGCATCCATGAACAAGTGAGATGGGGTATTTGGGGAGCACTTGGATGCATTCCCATTGCCCTTTATATACTATAGGATGGGGCCTGCCCTATAGAAAGGGAAATTTGGGCTCCCTGTAGATTTCTGTACACATGTGTAACAAAGGTATATGCATGACATGGAAGGCTAATGGTTGAGAAAAAATAGGATTTCTTTCAACCCTATACTCAGGGCTTCCCAGGACATGTCTTGTGTAATCATGTTGGGGCAACACACAATTGCTGGGTTTTGAACCATCTTGTGAAGCTTCCACAGCTCTTCCCTCAAATCTCAAACACAAAGACCATCCTAGAGAGGATCATAAAATCCATGTTTCTTGTGGACTTGGACTCCATGGCCTCCTGCAGACCCGACCAGTCCTGTAATCCTATGATGCTGTGTTACAGAGTTTAATCCTGTTTCCTCATACCTAAGGGGAGTTTCCATAGGACAGGGTGGAATTCACATGGAAAGCTTCAAAAGGAAACAAAACTTTTAGACGTTAAAAGTGATTAAGATTAGCATCTGAGCTCAGCTTTGTGGCTAAATTAAAACTAACAGGCTATGCTGTATATATATGTCTACAAATGCATAGATAGAAAATGGGGTGGAGAATACAGCAAATGAAACTCTCACTTAGGTGAAATTTAGTAATTTTCCTCCTCTAAAACTAGCAGACAAGCTCAGACCAGCCTGACCCTTTCTCCTGGCAGTCTTAGAACAAAATGCCTATGCCTATAAGTTAGATGATGTCAGTGGTTCCTAGTTGATCATGTATTTTGTTTGTTAGGAGTTTCAAACCCTTCCAAATATAGAATTGATTTTTTGATATTGTTATTGAGCTCTAAGTTAGATGAAAAAGTTAAGAGAAAAACCTAAACATCTTGCAGATTTTAGTAACATTGATAAGCAGGAGATGAAATTGCTGTGGGGGAGGGGAAGCAGCAAATACACTCCTTACATACCAGGCAGCGAACAAAGCCAGGGCCTCCGGCCAATGTGCCTGCAGTTCTGAACACCTCTCAGTTCTCAGGCAATGCTTGGTTTCTCAGCGGTGTTTAGTGCTTAGCCCTGCAGTTGATCAAGTGTAAGGGACAGTCTTTCAGCAAGCCCTATACCACAGAGTTGTTCACTGTAATGTTCTTTTTTTAGATATAAATGAATGTACTCTGGATTCCCATACGTGCAGCCACCATGCCAATTGCTTCAATACCCAAGGGTCCTTCAAGTGTAAATGCAAGCAGGGATATAAAGGCAATGGATTTCGGTGTTCCGGTAAGTAGCATTTGATCGTGATGCCTTAGCTATTCACAATGAAGCATTCTCCCTATATCTCCTTCCTCTCTTTATTTCTTTCCTTCTTTCTTTGTCTCCCTCTCCGTCACTCTCATTCTGTGTGTGTGTGTCTGTGTGCGTGTGTGTAGTGTAGTGTTTGAGTTTAACTCTGCCTCAGCCTTTTCTTCTTTGCTAATTGGACCATATCTCCAATACTCACTGAAGTTGTAGGCACTAAACTTAAAGAAGAGCAAGGGTAGTTAGTATCTTTCTGGCCACAACATACTCAAATACTGAACATAAGATTTCAGGACAAAAGACACTGAGAAAATATATCAGAACAGACTGAGTTATGGTGCAGTAACAAGCAAACCTAAAATATCATTGGCTTAAAACCACAAAGGTTTTTAAACCAAGTGAATCAGGACGTTTTCCAGAATGCATAACACAACCGAAACAAAGTATGATGAAGCTGAATCACCATAAGTATGATCAATTTATCTGTCATCCTCAGGCCCAGATTCACTTGTTTTAATGTATATAGCAGAGAGTTCTATTGTTCTTGCTGATAAATTCTTTCATACTGTGTGTTAAAACTTTAAATTTATAAACCAGCCATCTAACAATAAAATGTCACTGCTATTAATAACTACAACAACAATAAAGGTTTATTTCTCACTCATGTAATATGTCCAAAGATAATTTTTCAGGGATTTCTTGTCAATACAGTCACTTAAGGACATAGGCTGACAGAGGCCCCGTCATCTTATAGTACCATGGTCTCAATTTAAGGCTTTAGGGTTTGCCACAGCAGAGAAAGAAGCATGGAAAATCATGCACCAGCTCTTAATTTATTCAGTTTGGAAGTATCTAACATCAAGGGACAAAAATAATAATAAACTTGCTCTGTGCCCCAAAAGAGAAGAAAACTAGAAATCTTGGTGAACACCAGGAATGTCTTCCAAGGCAAGGCAGCTGTGATTACAGTGCAGTCACTCCCTTAGTACACAATATCTTACAATATTAAAAGTCATCCAGGTTCTGCTGGGTGTGACGGCTCACATCTGTAATCCTAGCACTTTGGGAGGCCCAAGTAGGTGGATCACCTGAGGTCAGGAGTTCAAGACCAGCCCGGCCAACACGGTGAAACACTGTCTCTACTAAAAATACAAAAAAATTAGCCAGGCATGGTGGTGCACGTCTTTAATCCCAACTACTTGGGAGTCTGAGACACAAGAATCACTTGAACCTGGGAGGCAGAGATTGCAGTGAGCCTCTGTACTCCAGAGATCACACCACTGCACTCTAGCCTGGGCAACAGAGTAAGACTCCATCTCAAGAAAATTTTAAAAAAATTAATAAAGTCATCCAGGCTTATCCCTCTGGTCATGTCCCTTTTAGCACTGGCTCATCATGTGACTAGACTTGTTGACTGTCCTGATTCAACTCTCTTATATACCCCTTAGCAGAGTTCCCACATGTTCAATAAATGTGGCTGCAAGGTATACCCTGACCTACGTCACATCCCATACCACTGTCTGGCCAATGTTGCCAATGATGCAAATGACTGTCAGACTATTGACCAGTCATACAAAAATAAACCATATGTACCACGATAGGCATTTAGCGTATACCCATAAAACGTTCACAGTACCCCAGAGGGCTATTGTTGAGTACCACTGGACAAGAGTACGTACAAAAGAATATAACCAAAGAAAATGATTCTGGAAATCAAATTCTGTGAAGAACTGCCAAAAGAACAGGGCAGCATTTAGTCTGGGAAGTATAGTATGGAAAAGCATAAATTGCGCCTGTAAATATTTTAAGAAATATGAAATAAAAGTGGCTTTCCAAAGCAAACTAAGTGCAGTGGGTGGTTACATTCTCTCTTAAACATGGCTGCTAGGTACTTTGGAGTGGAGCAGGGAACCCCATGGAGTAAGGACATTCCGCTGCCCCTGGTTTGCAGGCTGAGGGGTCTGAAACAGATTCCTGCATTGGGCTGGAGATGGGATTAAATGACCACTTAGTGTCCAGCAACTGGATGCCATGGTTTCTATCCCTCTAGATAGAAATATCCAATGATGTCCTTCTGAAACTTGATTCAGAGAGATAGAGATTGGCTGCCCATGCAGCGCTGTGCATAGGTAGGTTGTGGGGAAGGACACCATAACCTTGGGCGGCCCCCAGAGAGGAGACAGAATAAATCAGCTTTCCATATTGGATGAGTGCTCAAGGGACCCACGATCAAATCTCCTTGATGCCACCAAATTTGAACGTGTATATTCCAGGTTGGGAAGGCCTGAATTTAAATCTTAGCTCTGCCCCATGCTGGCTGTGACCTTCAGCAAATTTCTTACCCTCTCTAAGCTCAGTTTCCTCCTATTCATAATGGGGTTTGTGGTAGTACTGTGGTGGGTTCTTGTAATGGGCCAGCCCACAGTTTCTTGCAGCTCGCTAATCCTACCGAGGCAGAGTAGGCAGTTGCATGTGTATCTCTAGCAGTGCTCTCTCTCTGACAGAAGTCTCTGGATAAATACTCCAGCTTCCACTTCACAGGGTGGGACAGTTCTGAGGTGTGCTCTGCACTGGGTCCCAGATGTCCCAGCAGGACTGAGCCCCAATTACCCACAGTGATTACCTGTCCATCTAAGTACCATCTTTTGGCTTTTCTCTCTTCCTGTCTTACTGTCTCCTCTCCCCAGTTTCTGCCTCCTGGAATCACCTTCCAAATAAGCCATCTGCACCCAAATCCTTGTCTCAGTCTCTGCTTGGAGGAACCCCACTAAGACAAATATGTCTTGCAGAGGTTCATCGTGAGGTTTAAATGAGGTAATACAGGCAGAGAGCTTAGTTTAGCAGGAACACATAGTAGATGTTCATTAAAGTTAGTTGTGATTGTTATTGTTATTAGTATCATTTCAATCAGCTGTTTGTTAAGGGCCACACACTCTGAAATTTCACAAAGATGAATGCAAAAATGCTGTGCATATAAAAAAAAGACACCTCAGGAAAACATCTGTTTCAGTAAGTGAGCAACTCACCCCCACATACTCACTCTCCTATTTCTAGGCATAAGAATTAAAGGCCCAGAGTAAACCTGGAGCCATCTTTCTTCCTCGTCATTTGATCCCCTTGAAACCACAATGTATTATTAATGTTAAAATGAAGGCAACATCTTTAAGCATGCAATTAGGTAGTTGTTTGCAGCCTGCATTTTCCATAATGTAAACCAGTGCTTTGAAATTGTAAATCCCACATCAACACAAACATTTCTTGTGTCAAGAAAATGTCTGTTTTTCTTGGACCATCCAACTTTATTTTGGGATAAAGGAAATTTGTCTTTATTCTTTGAAACCTCAAATTCATTACACTGTTCTATTCAATATCTGAAAATTATGCATTTTGTTATCCATTCTGCAGCTAATTTATTTCTTTAGTCTTTCACTGGAATGTTTATTTAAAGAAGAAAACTATCTTTGGGTCATTCACTATATTACTTGTCCAACCCTTTTCATTTTCCTTTAATTCTCCATAAAATAAACAGCTATGTTACTGTTGAAAATTCATCTTAACAAAGCCTTAACACTCATTCTTTAAAGGATACTCCAAAATCCACTCTTATGTACACACAAGAGTCATAAAAACAAAAATGAGAGAATTGTATCTAGTTAGCATTCAGCATTATAAAATGTTATATTGCAAAATACATTTGTATGCACACAAATTGCTATTGAATAATATAGGGCATAGGCTGGGTGCAGTGGCTCATGCCTGTTATCCTAGCACTTTGGGAAGCCGAGGCAGGCAGATTGCCTGAGCTCAGGAGTTTGAGACCAGTCTGGGAAACAGGATGAAACCCTGTCTCTACTAAAATACAAAAAATTAACCTGGCATGGTGGCATGTGCATGTAGTCCCAGCTACTCAGGAGGCTGAGGTAGGAGAATTGCTTGAACCCGGGAGGCAGAGATTGCAGTGAGCTGAGATAGCGTCACTGCACTCCAGACTGGGCAACACAGCAAGACTCTGTCTACATTTTATATATATATATATATATATATATATATATATATATATATGGCATTGATGTAGCAACTTTTATTAAGTTCATTGTTTTGAAAAGTTCAGACTCTACATCACATTATGGAAAAAGAGTTAGATTATCCTAACCCAGTCTCTATACCTAAAGGAAGAAGCACTCTAAATGTAGATGTGTATATGTTTTATTGTTCTAATATGAGTATTAATAATATACTGCCAGATAATTTGGTCTTGATTTGACAGCAGCTACACCTCATTCTCAGAAAATCAAATGCCAGATAATACCCAATTTTGGGAGTAAAAGTCAACTTAGGAAAGGAAACTGTCATTTGCTTACCAGGAGCACAGCTTCTGGAATCATTACCTTAGCTTGATTGCTGACTCCCTAGCCTACTACCTGCAGACTCAGAACAGATTATTTAACCTTTTGGTACCTCAGTTTCCACACCTGAAAAATAGAGATGATAATATCTAGCCCTTAATATTGCTTTGATGATTAAATTTATTCATATAGAATAAGTAAACATCCATCTAAAGGGTTTAGCACCAGCCCAGAATATATGAAATGCTTAATAGGCATGTGCTAGGAGTAAGAATAATAGTCACAAAGCCCTTCTTACCAAATTCAACAATTATTTCTATAGAAAAGCAGCTTGTTTAGTCATTAAAAATATGCTTATGGCTTAATTCAATTTATATAGTGTGTATCCAAGAATATGGGCTTTGGTACAACCAGGCCATCCCCATTTTTTCTTCAATTATAAACATTAGAAATTTGGAGGTATGGCCTGGGAATTTTTCTAACTCAGGAAAAGATGTTACACATTCTGGTGATGAATGCTAAAAATAATAGCACACATGTTGAGTACATGCCAAACACTAATCTTAGTAATTGATGTGTGCTCACCCAGTTAAGCCTCCCAGAAAAAACCTATTCTTATCCAAACTTTATAAATGGAGAGACTGAGGCAAAGAGAAGTTAATTTTTCATTTGAGGACCTATGGCTAGAAGATGTGGGAGCTAGGAATCAAACTCAGGAAACTGGGCTTCAGGATTATGTGCTTAAAAACAGGACAGGTGTGTTCATGACCAATTGGTTAATCCTCTGTGATGGAGAACTCAAAGTTTGCCCTCCCCAGCAGACTCTGTTGGCTCACCTTTTGTTCCATCCTAGCCCCTTCCTGTTTCCTGGATCCCATGCTAGAATACATTCCTCATCTGTGGTTAAGCTCCTCCTTCCAGGACTGTGTCTAAAGCTCAGATTAGTAGAACTTTTCTCCTCCTAGATGATAGATCATCTAACGAACTAAGCACAGTTGAGTGAATGTCAGTCATGTTCCTCCTGGGTAAGATATTCTCACCTAAGAGTGATCTTCTATAAAGTTTTATTCCAAAGATATGAAATTAAAATTAGGGTTTTCAGGTTGGTAGAAGTGTTTGACAACATGGGTATTTGGAGAAATCTCAAATCCCTCCCAAGAGAAATTGTCAACTTTACAAAAAACTGGCCTACGAACCTGAAGACTTTGAAATATCTAAGTTTTATATCTGAGTTCCCCAAATGTGCCAAAGACCGTCCTACTGCAACTCCCTCCACATTTTTTGTTTTTTTGAGATGGTATCTCACTCTGTTGCCCTGCCTGGAGAGTAGTGGCGTGATCTTGGCTCATTGCAACCTCTGCCTCCTGGGTTCAAGCAATTCTCCTGCCTCAGCCTCCTGAGTAGCTGGGATTACAGGCACTCGCCACCATGCCCAGCTAACTTTTGTATTTTTAGTAGAGACAGGGTTTTTACTATGTTGGCCAGGCTGGTCTTGGACTTCCGACCTCAAGTTATCTGCCTGCCTCAGGCTCCCAAAGTTCTGGGATTACAGGCTGAGCCACCACACCTAGTCCCTCCCACATTTTTATATTCTCAAGAAGATGATGTAATAATCAATAAATTTTTACGAGAAAACCATCATAATGTCAAATTTAAAGCAGCAATAACTAAATAAATCCAAATCTACTTATGCATATGCATATCATTAAAGTGCATTTTTATCCTTGCCTAGCTTTCTCTTTACATACTAAGAGAATGAAATTGTCAACACTATCAAGGTTATGATGTTTTGGTTTTTGTTTCTTCTCAATAGGAACATTTGAACTTCAAAGCAGAAACTGAAAGCAGATGTTTAGGTTTGCCTGGTGTGGGTTGAAACCCTTTCCTCATTATTTATTAAAGGTCTTTAGTTTTATGTTACTGATTGCAAAAAGGAAATTTACAGAGAATAGGGGTTTCCTGTTAATTTTTCTTGCTGGGTACTGGGAAAGATGTCCCATGGACAGAATTACAGTGGGGCCTCCAGAGGAAGGTCTATATATAATCACACATTATGGTCATAACTTAACATGCAACCTCTGGCAAAGTAGCTGAAACAGGCCATCTGAAGGTCAGGAAAATGAGTAATGATGCATTACTTGTTGGTTTCATACCTATAGTCAGGCTGTCACAATGTTAAATAACTAGAATATTTCACTGAAAATAAAGATGTTGCTCTTTTGATTCCAAAGTAAAAGCAATGTATTAAGAGCATATATATTTTCAAAGCATTTTTCTTCTCCCTGTTGGTTACCCCAACTATTGTGGACTCCTCTTTGTTTTTTTTCTACTACTTTGATATAGATTGAATCACCCAAATGATGGAGAAGGAATAAAGCAGGAGAAGAGGTTAAAATATTGCCAAGAAAAATACTGTAATAAAATCCCAGTCCAATTTTTTATAGTACTCTTTTTAGGCATCAAAATTGATGTCTGCCCCCTTGTTCCATTTTCCTCTAAACTATTTCCAAATAATAGAATTATGTGAATTGATTGAGGTGTTATTAGACCCTTTCTTGCTTATTCATAGATTAGTACATGCCTAGATATTTTATAGTGAGGCAATATGTTTGATTTTAAAGATCAGTGTTTTTAATTTTTAAAAAATTAATTACTTTTTTATATCAGTTGGATATTCTGAATTATCATGAGTATATCCCTGAAAAGGAGGCATATATCTTTGAATTATAGATCTCAAGGAATTTGAACCAGTCTAGAGAAAAGTTACCTTAATCTTAAAGCAGGAACCAATCTATCATAGAAATAGGACTTGAAAAAGAGTCGTTCATGGCCAGGTGCAGTGGCTCATGCCTGTAATCCCAACACTTTCGGAGGCCAAGGTGGGTGGATCACCTGAGGTCAGGAGTTCAAGACCAGCCTGGCCAACATGGCAAAACCCCATCTCTACTGAAAATACAAAAATAAGCCTGGTGTGGTAGCATGCACCTGTAATCCCAGCTACTCAAGAGGCTGAGGCAGGAGAATCGCTTGAACCTGGGAGGGGGAGGTTGCAGTGAGCCAACATCATTTCACTGCATTCCAGCCTTGGCAACAAGAGTGAAGCTCTGTCTCAAATATTTATAAAAGAAAGAAAGAAAAAAGAAAAGAAAAAGAGTCATTCATATGCTCTATTCCCAAATCTTAGTTCTGTCCCTAGTTAGATGAGTGACTTTGGGCAAGTCACTTAACACCCAGTTGCCTCATCTACAAGACAAGAGTCCCTGACTAAATGAACTCTTTTGTACCTCTCGAGTTTGACACTTTTTCCTCCAAGGGTCGTTAGTCCACTGAAGGATAGGAACCATAGATCTAGAGGTATATTTTTAAAGTAATACTTTTGCAGTGAGAAATAGTAAATGAAAAATAGTAAGCATAGAAGCCTCTCTGAAATATTTAATAAATAAAATCATTTAACTTTAGATAATGGTTGACTGAGGTGAAAAAGGGGAGAGAAAGGAGGGGAAAGAAAATTGGGTATGTGTATATTGAACCATAAGTCACTATTTTTGTAGGTCACAAATGGCTCATTATTACAACTTACATGGTTCAAACTAATGCTGTAGCTTTAATCTTTGAACATCAAATTTGGACAAATCTATAAGGCTACCAGGACAATACCAGTTTTGGAGAATACCAGAATGAAAGCAGAAATATTAGAAGACCCTGGCAAATCCATGTCTTTGGGATCTGTAGCCCAACTGGATAGCAGTAGGTGTTTCACTAAAGTAGTCTCTGAAGTAAAACAAAAGATAATTAAGATAACTACCATAACACTGATCTGCTTAAAACAGATACAAATATAGTTCTTCCTAATTTATCAAATGGTAGAGCCTCCTGTGGGTTCATTTTGGAAGCATTCACTTACTACACTTTAGCACTTTTTAAATGCTCCATTTTTGTGAGTAATTATCAGCCAATTTGGAACGTCTTGCCTCTTATTTGTTTTAGCTATCCCTGAAAAATCTGTAAAGGAAGTCCTCAGAGCACCTGGTACCATCAAAGACAGAATCAAGAAGTTGTTTGCTCACAAAAACAGCATGAAAAAGAAGGTAAAAATTAAAAATGTCACCCCAGAACCCACCAGGACTCCTACCCATAAGGCAAACTTGCAACCCTTCAACCATGAAGAGAGTATTTCCAGAGGTGGGAACTCTCATGGAGATAAAAAAGGGAATGAAGAGAGAATGAAAGAGGGGTTTGTGGAGAAGAAAAGAGAAGAGAAAGACCTGAAAAATGACATAGAGCAGGAGCGAAGCCTGCGAGGAGATGTGTTTTGTGAGTGCTACTTTTATTTTACATGTTTTATGAAAAATGAATTGCAATTTCTCCTGGCAAATGAAAGAAGACAAAAAGTCAGTTTCATAGCTTAAGTAAAATGGGTTGGGCCTTAAGTCTTGAGAAGCAGTATTCTCTGTAAGGTCTAGAAACAAACAACTTCTACAGACACCCAATCAAACCTGCTGCTCTAAGAACCAAGGAAGGGAAGTCCTGTTCCCCTGACTGGGAGGCTTCCTATTTGACACAGACCTTCCATTCTCACTTTAAGCCAAGGAAACCTGCTTGTCCTACAATTACAGTGGTTTGGCTGCCCAGCTCTCCACAATGTATGCCCCCAAATCAGAGAGAGGCTCACTGCATGGATCTGCTAAGCTCTACCTTTTTACTTCTTGAAGGCACTTTGACAGGTCTAGTCTAAGAAAATGAAACCTCACAGTTGTGTGGTTATGATTTTAAAAGCCAAAATCGACAAATGTAGGAGGATAAATTTTATAGTGGAGCTTAAGTTTTCTGTGTGAACTAGAGAACTCCCATACTCCTTTTTCACTGGTTGCTGTGCAGAGCCCACCAGAAGGCTCAGTCCCCCAGGATGGTTTCCATATAAACCCACTGTGCATCTCCACACTGAGACTTTCCCATTCTTCCTGAATGGGCATTTGTTGCTCCCTCTGTTTTGTCTTGTCTAGTCTTGGCTCTGTGACTGCTGGTCATATATACAAATGCCATTTGGATCTAACCAAAGGAAAAGTAGACACAGGCCCACCCCTCCAAGAACTAGCATCCAATGACATTCTCTGCCTTCATAGAGAGTTAAAACCTCAAAAAAAAAAAAAAAAAGAAAGAAAGAAAGAAAGAAAGAAAAGCATGTTTCCAAAACCTGATAAGAAGGGATGTATCAACAGTGTAGATGCCTAGTTCACTCAAGGGAGTATCTGGAAAAGATGTTCTAGATGAGGAAATGTAATTTATTTGGAAATGTTAGAGAAACACTGGATCCAATGTAAATTATTTGGAAATGTTAGAGAAACACTGCTCTAATATATTCTGTAATTAGAATACATGATTTAACCTTCTCTGTTTGGTCATTTGATGCATACCTTCTGAGCATGTGGGCTTTAAGTGTTTTTCTTAACTGACCAAGTGTTCTTTATTAGCCCCTAAGGTGAATGAAGCAGGTGAATTTGGTCTGGTTCTGGTCCAAAGGAAAGCGCTAACTTCCAAACTAGAACACAAAGGTAAATAAAACTTTCTCCCAAATGTATGCTCTTTCACATTGTCCATGACATTTTCATTTCTTCATACAGTGAAATGATTGTTTATGAATCCCTGCTTCACTCATAAAGCCCCAAGGGAAACATCATTACATCATACATACAGTGCCAGTATTAAAATGGCACTGTATGTATGATGTAATGATGTAAAGTAGGTTCGTGCTACTATACGTGAGCCTGGGTGACAGAGCAAGACCCTGTCTCAGAAAAAAAAAAAAAAAAAAAAAAAGTAGAAAGTTCCAGCAAGGTGTTCACTGGTTTATTTGGGCAGGAGAGATTTTATTTTCTGGCCTGCATTTGATAAACAATTGCTTATATTCTCTGTTTCTCTTTGTGCATGGGGATCTTGCCCATTACTTATTTTTTTAATTTGTTATTTGTTTGTTTGGTTTTGGGGTTTTTTTGCAACGTAGTCTTGCACTGTCACCCGGGCTGGAGTGCAGTGTGATTACAGGTGCCTGCCATCACGCCCAGCTAATTTTTTGTATTTTTAGTGGAGATAGGGTTTCCCTATGTTGGCCAGACTGGTCTCAAACTCCTGACCTCATGATCTGCCCACCTTGGCCTCCCAAAGTGCTGGGATTACAGGCATGAGCCACCGTGCCTGGCCTGATTTTTGTTTTTGTTTTGAAACAGAGTCTTGCCTTGTCACCCAGGATGGAGTGCAATGGCATGATCTTGGCTCACTGCAACCTCCACCTCCTGGGTTCAAACAATTCTCCTGCCTCAGCCTCTCAAGTAGCTGGGATTACAGGCACCTACCACCAAGCCTAGCTAATTTTTGTATTTTTAATGAAGATGAGGTTTCATCATGTTGGCCAGGCTGGTCTCGAGCTCCTGACCTCGTGATCTGCCCACCTCAGCCTCCCAAAGTTTTTTTGTTTTTTTAATATCACAACAGAATTTGTTCAGAATGGCTTCACAGACGCAACTCAAAACAGGATATGCCATGATCTGTACTCTGTACAACTGAAAACAAGGTATTGCCTTCCAAAACTCCAAATGTTAGACATCTTCCTAATGCTCTTAGAGGTTATGAAATGTGTTCTTTCTTTTTAGCAGATTTAAATATCACAGTTGACTGCAGCTTTGATCATGGGATCTGTGACTGGAGACAGGATAGAGAAGATGATTTTGACTGGAATCCTGCTGATCGAGATAATGGTATTTAGATTTGACAATTTTATGTTCTGTAATATGGTAAAGGTATAGAAGGCCCTCCGTGAGTGGCGAGTTGTTATTCCTACTACTCATCAGGGCAGGGTTGCTTGTCATTTTTGGAAATTATTAGACCTTCCAAGATCTCCCTTGATAGATGATTAATTTGACCAGCGTATATTCTACTTAATCCCTTTCCCACACACCTGCCTCCACAAAGGATCTGTGAGGAAACATCTTCCATATTCATTCTCCTTCTGCTGAGAGAGAGATGTTGAGATTTGTATGAAGTTTGGAAGAGTTGGCGAAAAGATAGAAAGAAGTTGTTTCTTCCCAGTTTACCAGTCATGGCACCTTGTAGTTTTTGTTTTGTTTTGTTTTGTTTTCATGGGGGAAATAAATCTTGAAAGGAAATATGACCTCTACCTAAACCTGGCGTTTTAGTAGAGTGGCCCCTCAAAGCATGAAAACCATAATAAGCATCAAGTCAATGACCTGAACTCCTGGGCTGAGCTTTCCCTTCTGTTTGTTGCTCGAGGTTTTCTTTCAAGCCACTTGTCCTTGAATTTTTCTTAATCTTATCTGTGAGCTACAGACTTCCCACCCTTCCCATTGCCTACTTAAACATTACTGATGGACCCTAACTATCCCCTTACGTGTTTGGCTTGCAGATCCCATTTAGAGCACAGATTGAATCTCTGTCTCTTGAAGACTGACTAAATAATTAAAGACAACTGTTACACCTTCAGGGACTCCAGTTCCTTACCAATCAAATTATTTCTTTGGGAATCTACAGGCTCAACCCTCAGCTAAAAGGTCCTTCTTTTAGATCCTTCTTCTAGACTAATTTCTCCCCAACATCTTTCCTTTAATGCCCTCACATACACTCAGAAAACCTAGATATCCCCTAATAATAATTCCTTTTAGAACTTGGGGTTAGGGAAGAGGGGATACATCTCACATAGCAGTTGTGTGAGTGAGACTTTTACTAAAGATTCAGTGTAAGCAAAGGGCAAATTTAACCAGGCTGAAAACACCGTATCGCTGGAAAAGCTATCTTGTTGATGACTAACCTGAGTTTCTCTTTTCTTCCATGATGGCATCTCTAAATTTATGTCTACCAGAGCTATATCATACTGGGAGCCCATAGGTTATTCCAGGACCTCCACAACTGATAAATACAGTTACATTAGGTCTTAAGTTGAGTTTTCTGTCCATTGGAAATTCCCTATTTACAAACACTCAATTCACAAATAACCCCAGGGTTCTCAGCTTTCGCATCATTCAAATCATACCCCCTTTCCTCCTGCACCTCCATTGGCTCTCTAGGTGAGCTTTTCATTCCCTCTGTACAGCTAAATATGAAAAAGAAACATGACCAAGGCAGGAGGATCACTTGAACCCAGGAGTTTGAGACCAGCCTGGGCAACATAGGGGGATCCCATCTCTACAAGATATTGAAAAAATAGGACAGATGCAGTGGCTCATGCCTGTAATCTCAGCACTTTGGGAGGCTGAGGTGGGTGGGTTTTCTGAGGTCAGGAGTTCAAGACCAGCCTGGCCAACATGATGAAACCCTGTCTCTACTAAAAATACAGAAATTAGCTGAGTGGGGTGGTGTGTGCCTGTAATCCCAGCTACTCAGGAAGCTGAGGCTGGAGAACTTCTTGAACCTGGGAGGCAGAAGTTGCAGTGGGCTGAGATCACGCCATTGCACTCGAGCCTGTGTGACAGAGCAAGACTATATCTCCAAAAAAAAAAAAAAGAAAGAAAAAGAAAAAATTATCTGAGTATGGCAGCATACACCTGTGATCCCAGCTACTCAGGAGGCTGAGAGAATGTAGCTGAAAGAGATAACAGATAAAGTATAGGATGTCTATATTTCAGACAGGCAATGAATACTTTTTAGTATGTCTTGGACATGTAGTGTATCTGAAATTCAAACTCCACTGGGCATCCTATATTTTTATTTGCTAAATCTGGATACCCTACTACCTGGGGAAGAAGACCAGTCTCTGGATGCATTGAAAACTAAGGCAATGTGGCTGGGCGCAGTGGCTCACGCCTGTAATCCCAGTACTTTGGGAGGCCGAGGTGGGTGGATCACGAGGTCAAGAGATCGAGACCATCCTGGTCAACATGGTGAAACCCCGTCTCTACTAAAAATACAAAACATTAGCTGGGCATGGTGGTGCGTGCCTGTAATCCCAGCTACTCAGGAGGCTGAGGCAGGAGAATTGCCTGAACCCAGGAGGCGGAGGTTGCGGTGAGCCGAGATCGCGCCATTGCACTCCAGCCTGGGTGACAGGAACGAAACTCCGTCTCAAAAAAAAAAAAAAAAAGAAAAGAAAAGAAAACTAAGGCAATGTCAGCCTGGGTCCTGCAAGTATCTCTGATTTGGAGTACCAGAAGACCATCTTCTTCCTGGCTTCTACAGGAATTTTTCCTTCTTATCAACTTCTTCAGATCCTACTCTTTGAGACTTTTTGCCCAAGTTCATCAAAGCCACAACCTGAAGATGGGAGATGAGCAAAAGTCCACTACCACAGGTTAAAAGATACTTAGAAGATTTGTGGGAGTTGGAGGACAGTGTTCCTGTCATACTAAATCAGAAATTGGAGCGATATGTTACACATGGTAGCTGAGCTCCATGAAACCACTAGTATAAATGCAGGTGTGCTGTGGATTAAACACCAGCTGAGTGGGGTGGTGTGTGCCTGTAATCCCAGCTACTCGGGAGGCTGAGGCAGGAGAATTGCTTGAACTTGGGAGGCAGAGGTTGCAGTGAGGTGAGATCTCGCCACTTAAGGAGCTGATCATCTTATATGTCATTGGCTCAGTGTGGAATATGCATTCCAAGTTTCTGGACCCACTTAAGGAGTTGATCACCTTACATATAATTGACTCAGTGGGGAAATGCATTCGAAGTTTCAAATCACCGAAATGGAAATGAGATTTTGGAACACAAGTTCTCCATCAACTGCAGATTACCTGCAGCGCTAAAGAATCATTTAATTAGATTCTTACCCCATATCTGCTACTACCAAGCTTTGTGAATGTGAAAAAATTCCTCTGACCCTCAGTTTACTTGTCTATATAACAAAAGACTTCAATTATGTGATCCCTAAAATCTATTTTAGCATGAAACTTTTGTTCCTATGTTCAAAATGAAAAGGACTTCAGCTTTCCCTATAGAAGATGATTGTTCACTTTTTATAGGTTTTTTATACATTAAAGCCAAACTCCTTACAATGGCCTCATTAATTGTGCATTTTTCCCTGTCTCTTAAAGCTATTGGCTACTATATGGCAGTTCCGGCCTTGGCAGGTCACAAGAAAGACATTGGCCGATTGAAACTTCTCCTTCCTGACCTGCAGCCCCAAAGCAACTTCTGTTTGTTCTTTGATTACCGGCTGGCCGGAGACAAAGTCGGGAAACTTCGAGTGTTTGTGAAAAACAGTGATAATGTACTGGCATGGGAGGAGACCACAAGTAAGGATGAAAAGTGGAAGACAGGGAAAATTCAGTTGTATCAAGGAACTGATGCTACCAAAAGTGTAAGTGAGGGAAAAATGATATAACTTGATATTTGCATTATTTTGCAATGATTTAACAAATGAAACAAAACATTTATTGAAGTATGTAGGCATTAGGGATACAACGATGAATAAGACTTTTTCCCTATACTTAAAGAACTTATATTCTGGAGCTGAATAGGCAAGGTGATTAATCGGCACAACTCATGCATACTTATCTGGCATATGCATATCATGTTCTGTGCAAATGACCTGTTTGTCAGGCTCCTCTCACCAGCATCTTTCCAAATCAGGTTATACATTCCTTAGTATGTAAAAGAATGTCACTCTCATTCATTCTATGCCCAGAACTTAGTATAGTGAATGGCAGCTAGAAGGTGATTTTTTTTAATGTTTTTTAAACTGAACTGAGAGAGTTGCTATTGTCAGGGTCCCCAGGACCACCCTTAGGTTGAGTGAGTCCCTAGAAGGACCACACAGAAGTCAGAAAAGCTGTTATATCCACAAGTACAGTTTGTATAGATTAAAATCAGCAAAGGGAAAAGACACATAGGGCAGAATCCAGGAGAGACCAGGCACAGGCGTGCAGTTTTTGTCTCCCAGTAGAGTCATATGGGCAGCTATTAATTCTCCTAGCAATCACACATGATGACACTCACAAAGTATTGCCCACCAGGGAAGCTCACCCAAGCCTTTCTGTCCAAGGTTTTTGTTGGGGGTCAGTCTGCTCATGTGATCATCTGAGTAGCTGAATTTAGTTATCCAGTTTCCAGCCTCTCTAGTGGTCAAGTTGATACCATGTGACTCAAGGCCCCCACCGTAAGTCACATTGTTAACATAAACTATCTGGCATGGCCTAAGGCCTCAGGTAAACAAAGGCAGTTTTAATCAAACAGGATATTACAAGGGCTTAGAGGTTGTCTCCTAAGAACCAGTCAAGGGCCAAATATTTCTTTGGAATGTGTAGGGTTTGAACAACCCAGACCTACTGAGTTAATCTTTTGTTGCACAGTGGGTTTAATAAAGGAAAAGGAAACAGAGTTTTTAAGAGGAAGGTGGTCAAGTGGATGAAACACTGAGGAAGAACAATATAATAAAAATGGCAAAGAGTCTATTAAGTTTGACCCGTCAGGAGGTGGCTGGTGACCTTTACAAGAGTTCTTCCTTTGGAGGGGAAGGGCCAAAGGTCACACTTCAGAAAAGTGAAAAGGGAAGAGATCAGAGCCTGGAGGCAGCCACTGTGGACCCTTGTGAAGAGTTTAGTCAAGGTGGGAAGGAAAAAGATAGGATGAAAGCTAAAAAGAGGCACATCAAGTGGTGATAATAGGAAGAACAATTAGTAGATCCATGTATTAGGATTCTATTTATACTTTGCTTGTGAAAGATGACTAATGCAAATTTAACATCTTTTAATTTATTTGTCACGCTTTAATTAAAACAGAGCATCTTATTTAAAATATGTCATAAGACATGGCTATAAATAAACGTATATGTTGGTACCAGCTACTGAATTTCCTAACCACTCTTGCCTTCTGTGGTAAAGGCAGCCAGTGCTTGTTCAGGAATGATACATGCATTAATTTGAATTTACTCTTATAGCAGTACATTTAAATCAATACAAATCTAGTCCACGTGTTTTTCTTGTTGTGTTTGGGGCATGGTTTGGGGACTGTGGCACTGAGCCATGCTATATATCGATGACATCCCCTGTTAGAAAATTGAAACATGCCTCTGCACAGCATTCATATTTACTTCCATGTTGACTGTATTCATGTGATGGAGAATATTTTTTATATAACATGGTAGCTTGCAGGGCGAGTATACTATCAAAACAGTGATTTTTTTTTTAATGCACATTTCTGTAGACACGCCACCAAAGAGCCTAGCCAACAATCACACTGGAACACAGCAGTGCTTTCATAAGAGGCATGCTCAGACCCAGGCATCTGTTCCCTGAATTCTTCAGTTCTAGGGGAAATCTTGATGGGGGGATATTGAAGGGTAAGGAGGCTGACTAATCCAGTCTAAAGAATATATTCCAGTTTAGCAATGTCATATTGGCTGTGGACATTTGTAACAGATGTGACTCTTGCTGCATAAACTTGGGCGTACAAGGTAAGTCACATTGCTTTCTCGAAATCAAATTATTTCTGAATCCAAAGCCCCATCCCATTAGGCTGGGGGGAAATTCAATCTTGGCTATTTCCTTATGCAGGGTTGGGGGAGGGACCCCCTCCCTAGGGTAGCCTGCGCTTTTGAAAGGCTAAAAGTGGCCCATATGTTAAGAAGAGGGTAGCACATCTTTACTTCATCATGAAGGTCATGGATACCCACATCTTTTGCACCTACTTGACTTTTGAAGTTACTTATCCCTTCAACTTCCATGCCAGGACCAGACACAGAAACCTTTACTGGAGCTGGAATCTTGTTGCTGAGAATCTAGCCTCAATAGAAACATCAGACAACCATTTTCTGCCCAGGGCTCTGCCAGGGAGACGCAGTGGTGCAGCTTCCTAGTACTGGAGAATCTCACATCTCCCCTCACCACTTCTCCTTTTAACCCTCTATCTTCAACCACAGTCTCAGGAAGTTAAGCTTGTGGGTAACAAATGTCAGGAAAGAGACTGTCTTCCAGAAAAGTCTGCTTTTGATTATTATATCCCAAATCTCCTTAATAAAAAATAACATTAAAATCCTGCCTAATTTTTGAGGGAATAGAGAAAGTAAAAATACAGTAAAAAAACAAACACAAGGGGCCTGGCACAGTGGCTCACGCCTGTAATCCTAGCACTTTGGGAGGCCAAAGCAGGCACATCACTTGAGGTCAGGAGTTTGAGACCAGTCTGGTCAACATGGAGAAACCCCTATCTCTACTAAAAAAAAAAAAAAAAAAAAAAAAGTACAAAAATTAGCTGGGCGTGGTGGTGCATGCCTGTAATCCCAGCTACTCAGGAGGCTGAGGCAGGAGAATCACTTGAATCTGACAGATGAAGGTGGCGGTGAGCCGAGGTCACACCACTGCACTCCAGCCTGGGTGACAGAGAGAGACTCCGTCTCAAAAAAAAAAAAAAAAGAAAAGAAAAGAAAAACAAGTACAAAATTAGTATGTCAATTAATTATCCTGACATCTATTTCTAGTTATCCAGGGGTTATCAGTCAGGGGTCTTTGGAAAAACCACCATATGCCAAGATGTAGACATACCCACCCTCATTATCCCATATGACATTAGCCAATATGACATTGCTAAACTGAAATATATTCTTTAGTCTGGATTAGTCATAAGGAAGCCTCCTTACCCTTCAATATCTCCCCATCAAGATTTCCCCCAGAACTGAAGAATTCAGGGAACAGATGCCTGGGTCTAAGCATGCCTCTTTGGCTGTAATGCCTGTTTGGCTTACCCCTACTTTTTTAAAAAGTTCCTTTGGGTGCAAAAGGTATATCTTTCTGAAAGCAGTTCCCTCCTGAGAAGAGACTAGAGGAAAAAGAAACTTCCATACCCAGTTGTGCTATCATTGGCTGCTTAGTAATAGCTTGTCTCCAACACTTCTCAAGAAAATGCACTCAGATTGAGAGCAAAAGAGAGCAGCCCAGGTAGTGGGCAGTGACCCTTGTCATCTCCATTTGTCCCCTGAGATTTAAAGGACAGCAAAATGATCCTGATTCAAAGATGATTAAAATTACCCTGGAACAAACATTTTAGAGAGAAAATAATATTTAATTTGGAACAGGTTATTCTTTAAAATAGCATGCACATATGCATTATATAAGTTTGAATTTGCACATGAATATGTATTTTTATCTATTTGTAACCACAGTATACATAGGCTATTGTTGAATTTCATTTTGATAGGCTGAGGTTTCTCCTCTTTGGAGAGCCAGAGAAAGCTGGATATGGTGACGACATCAAGCCTAAATTTGCTTCATTTTTGAAAACTATTCTGTGATCCTTTATTAAGCAAAAAAGAGGTGGTGCTGGGGATAGTGAATAGTTGCATGGTGGCGTTGTTGTGAGCATGATTCTAAAAGGGTCTTTCTTTAAAATGCCAATTTATACAAGTTTGAATTATATAAGTTTAGAAATGACAAAAGGAAATTAGTTTATTGAAAGTAAGTAAAGATTCATAATCATACCACAGTAACATGAGTGTTTTTATACTTCACATTTTACTTTGCACAAGAATATGTATTTTTATCTATCTGTAACCACAGTATACATAGGCTATTGTTGAATTTCATTTTGATAGGCTATATGTGCATGCTATTTTAAAGAATAACCTGTTCCAAATTAAATATTCTTTTCTCTCTAAAATGTTTGTTCCAGGATAATTTTAATCATCTTTGAATCGGGATCATTTTGCTGTCCTTTAAATCTGCTTATTTCAGATTTTGAGGATTGTAGAAACCCCTAGACCTAGTCCCTTCTTTACGGGAGGCATGGGAGAGGAGACATACTTCTCTTAAGAGTGAATGTTATTGGACAAGTGCTCCATAAATTATAGCAATTATTATTTTTATAATTAATTAATTTAGCAGTATTTCTAGTGTTTTATCTGATTATAACATTAACATGAATTATTTATTTTTTTAAAACATTACAATTGAAGAAACTTAAAAACATTCATTCAGGCCGGGCACAGTGGCTCATGCCTAGGTGGGTGAATCACTTGAGGCCAGGAGTTCAAGACCAGCCTGGCCACCATGGTGAGACCCCGTCTCTACTAAAAATAAAAAAATTTAAAAAATTAGCCTGGCATCGTGGCACATTTCTGTAATCCCAGCTACTTAGAAGCTGAGGCATGAGAATCACTTGAGCCTGGAAGGCAGAGGTTCAGTGAGCTGAGATTGTGCCACTACACTCCAGCCTGGGTGACAGAGCAAGACTCCATCTCAAAAAAATAAAAATAAATAGATAAATTAAACAAAACCTTCATTCAGCAAACGTTGATTTTAATCATATTTATTTTAAAACATGTTTGGATAAATGAATAAATAGAAAATAGTCACTGTATATCCTTAATTTTGAGTCCCCAGTCATTCTGTGTTCAATTTGAAGATAATTTTTCTGGTATTCATCCTCTATTCTCTCTATATTAGAAATTTCTAAACTATAAAGAAGTTTGTTTCTCTTTAGATTATTAATAAATTCATTCGACAAAAGTGATTATAGCATATCATGAAACATTTTCTTATTTATTTTTTTTGAGATGGAGTTTTGCTATTGTTGCTCAGGCTGGAATGCAATGGCATGGCGATCTCTGCTCACTGCAACCTCCACCTCCCAGGTTCAAGCGATTTTCCTGCCTCAGCCTTCCCAGTAGCTGGATTACAGGTGTGCACCACTACGACCAGCTGATTTTGTATTTTTAGTAGAGACAGGGTTTCTCCATGTTGGTCAGGCTGGTCTCAAACTCCTGACCTCAGGTGATCCACCCACCTTGGCCTTCCAAAGTGTTGGCATTATAGGCATGAGCCACCGCACCCGGCCAGCATATTATGAAACATTTTCAACACATCCAAACAATATTCCGGATAATCTCTAAATACAAAAACCACTATTTTAAGAAGAATAATTACAGTATTATAAACTACCAAAATCTAAATATATCAAAACAATTCCCTTTTGACTATATAGTTTTTTATTAGATGTTTGTGAGGAATATTAAATTTCTTCTCACTTGGTTTTTGTAAAGAACACTATATTTTGTTTTTTGTTTTGCTTTTCTTTAAATGGGAATGCCAAAGTTTCTTTTTAAATCTTATTCTTCTCAGCTTTATGGAGTTTTTCAGAATCCATGTGGGCTTTGCTATGAACTTGTTTTTGCCAAAAAGTAGTTCTCTCACTGTAGGCACCTGGCATCTAGAAAATAATCTATTGCCATATATTCAATGTTGAAGCTAGTTTCCATGCAATAGGGACACAAGTTAACAACTATTAAATAGTTTGATTATATCATTGCTTTGAGCAGTTTGAAGTAATTTTTAAATTCTCTCTCCATTATTAGATCGTTTTTGAAGCAGAACGTGGCAAGGGCAAAATCAGTGAAATCGCAATGGATGGCGTCTTGCTTGTTTCAGGCTTATGCCCAGACAGCCTTTTATCTGTGGAGGACTGAATGTTACTATCTTTATACTTGACTTTGTATATCAGTTCCCTGTTTTTTGATATTGCATCATAGGACCCCTGGCATTTTAGAAATACTAGCTGAAAAATTGTAATGTACCAACAGAAATACTATTGTAAGATGTCTTTCTTGTATAAGATATGCCAATATTTGCTTTAAATATATCACTGTATCTTCTCATTCATTTCTGAATCTTTCCACATTATATTATAAAATATGGAAATGTCAGTTTATCTTCCCTCCCCAGTATATCTGATCTGTCTACGTGAGTTGCTGAGCTTCTGTCTACAACATTTCTAGAATTTTTTTTTAAAAAAAAAGCACAGAGAAATGTTTAACTGTTTGACTTTTATGATACTTCTTGGAAACTATGACATCAGAGACAGACTTTCACCTAAGTGACTTAGCTGGATCTTTCATAGCCAAGCTTGTATACTTAAATTCTTTGTAATAATAATATCCAAATAATCATCTTGTGTCATGGTTTAATTTTTCTAAGTAAGAAAATATGTTGTTGACTGTGCTTACTTATGTAAATGATTATTTGTTTTTCTGAAAAATATAGTGTTTATTCTTTTCACTATTACTTCATATTTTTAAAGGTACTTTTTTGTTTTGTTTTCTTGAGACAGAGTTTCACTCTTGTTGCCCAGGCTGGAGTGCAATGGCACAATCTCAGCCTCCCAGGTTCGCCTGGTTTCTCACCGCAACCTCTGCCTCCCAGGTTCAAGCAATTCTCCTGCCTCAGCCTCCCGAGTAGCTTGGATTACAGGCATGTGCCACAACACCTGGCTAATTTTGTATTTTTAGTAGAGATGGGCTTTCTCCATGTTGGTCAGGCTGGTCTTGAACTCCCGACAGGTAATCTGCCCACCTCAGCCTCCCAAAGTGCCGGGATTATAGGGTTGAGCCACTGCACCCAGCCCCAAAGGTACTTTCTATTATGGGAAAATATGACTGCTTTATTAGGCCTTATAACTGCAAAGCAGATTCACATATATTGGGGGTTTTGTTTGTTTGTTATTTTTTAGAGATGAGGCCTTGCTATGTTGCCCAGGTTGGTCTTGAACTCCTGGCCTCAAACAATCCTCTCACCTTAGCCTCCCAAAATGCTAGGATTATACTAGTGAGCCGCCACACCCAGCCAGCATATATTGCTGAGTTCAAAGCCTCAGAGAACTACATAAAACTAGATGAGCAGGTAGCAGGATTCAAAGAAACACAGATGCCTTCTTTTTCTTCCTCTTTTCTTACAAATTCAGGAAGAGTTCTGTAGGAATCCTGAGTGTATGCTTGGAGGACAATTTGATATTCTGTTTAAGATTCTGGGTTAGAAACACAAAGGTTCTCCAGATATTTGCTCTCTGTTACCTAAAGCAATTAAGGCATTGAACCATGGGAGGAAGAAAAGAAGTGATTCACTTACTAATCTTTAAAATTTAATTTTAATATAAAATTAAAACCTCACTCTTGAAGGTTTTAAAATACTTAAATTCTAACTAATCCTTCTTCAACAATATTCTCTTTAATATAACCAACACACACAACCTTTGAAGTTGAGATGGGGACCACATTGGTTTTCCCTAGTATGAGGGAATCTGGGCATACAAAATCTATACAGGGCTGTAACTGTATCTGTTAGAATAACTGCTACTTATAGAAACCACAAAAATAGTGTTTCTGATGAGACCAGATGAAAAATTGCCCAGCAAAGGCAAATCAGCCCACAGAATCCTGAGAGATAATAAAAATAGTTATTTTAAGCCACTAAATTCTGGGGTAGTTTGCTACACAGCAAAAGTTAACTAATACAAGTGATTTCTGATATTGTAGAACTTAAAGAAGAACCCCTGTCTCTTCAGTGACCAAGGACATTTGAGAGCATAACGTGGCTTAGAAGAAAGGACGATGGGGCCAGGTATGGTGGCTCATGCCTGTAATCTCAGCAACTTCCTGTGGGAGGAGGAGGTAGGTGAATCTCTTGAGCCAGGAGCTTGAGACAAGCCTAAATAAGATGGCAAAACCCCATCTCTACAAAAACTACACCGATTAGCAGGGCATGGTGGTGTGCACCTGTAGTCCTAACTACTCAGAAGGCTAAAGTGGGAGGATCACCTGAGCCTGGGAGCTTGAGGCTGTAGTGAGCTGTGATCACACCAGTGTACTCCAGCCTGGGCCACAGGGTGGCCTGTTTCAAAAAGAAAAAAGAAAGGACGATGGAGGGGAGAACTTACAATGAAGGACAGTGCCCCACTGATTTAGGCTAAAGGAAGAAATGTTAAACGAGAAATGAAATCAGGAGGCCTGGAAACTCTGCTACATATGTATAGAAAATCAGTGCATAAAGCTCGGTTAAGTTTCATGTTCCTCTAAAGTCTGCAGCAAAGACTCATGGTTGCCTACACAATATCCATTCTTATATTTTTCCTTACCAGTATGACCACATGTAAATAGATTTTTAGCAGGGGGTAGGTAGGCAATGTGCTCAACTAATAGATTACATTTCCCAGCCTCTCTTACAGATGGGGAGGCCCCTGCGATGGAAGCCGGAGTCATTCTTGGGGCTTTCAGGAAGGATCATTAAAGGGAGCTCCCAGCTAGCAGCCGCCTCTTTTGGCATTTCCCTTCCTCCTTCTTGCTTGCTATGTGGCTGTAAAGGCAGGAGCTCCATGAACCTCTTTGAGATCAAAAGGGCAAGGTCCTCACCTTATGAAGTACATAACTGGAGGAAGCCTGGGTCCCTGACAATTTTGTTGAGTCTCTACGCCTTTCCCAGACTTGTCACTGCTGGACATTTTGTTAAGTAAGAGAAAAACAAGTCCTCTCTTGGCCTATCTAGGATTTCAAACAGCATAATGCAGACCCAAGTGATCATTCTCCTGGGAGACTCTTATGGACTAACTTGTTAGATCCTTAAATACCAACATACTGTTTTGAGTTTCAGTCAATAGCCTATGGTGTCAGGCAGTTCTAGCCTGCACCAGCACTAAATCGTACTTGGATTCCTTGTGAAACCTTTTAAAGTCAGCTAGTTCAGCCATGACTCTCGTTATATGTTATCCCTGGCCACCACCCAACATGCAAACTCCCCCTTTTCTCACCCATCAGCTCCCCTCTCTCATGCCCACTCTGTAATGGGCTCACTCCACTTGGCACTTCTCCCCACTATTTCTACCCCCACGACACATGCTCCATTGTCTGGTAAACAAATCCCCCTCCATCTTAATTCATGCTTAAAGGTCTCTTCTTCCATCTCTCAAGCTTAGCTGAAACTGGGCTCTCTCTGAGGGACATCTCTCCCCCTGCAGTCTTATCAAATGAAAACCACTCATCTTCCCACACTCCACAGCTGACAGGGTCTAAAGTTGAGAGTGGCATTCTCCTTATTCCACTCTTATTCACCACCTCTCTTTTCTGTAATGTAAAAGCCGCTGTTCCTTGGAGGTGCAGTTAAATAGTTCTACAGCCTTCTGTCCTGCCTACCCATTGCCATTGACCAGCATGGCGATATCTATGCAAATACCCATCCAAGATCCTGGTCTCACAGTCCTTTGACCTCATCTATCCCAGTTACCATCACCTCCTCCTCAGTCACTATACCGTGGCCTCCCCTTGGACTTGATCATTGCCTGTGAACCCTTGAACACAAACATCCCACTCTGGTCTCTCTGGCTTCCCCCTCTTCCTACTCCCCTTACACTTACTCTCTGGCCTTTTTGAAACCTCCATTCCCTTGACATCTCCATTTTCTTCCCATCTCTTGACCTCCTCTTGGCTTGACTTTCCTCTCTAATAAAAACATAGCCTAGACTCTGAGGCCCATCATCTCTTCAAAGACACTCTTGTCAATGCCAGTCCAGTCCCAGGCTCATGTGTCTTCCGCTGCCACCAGGAAGAGTCCCCAATCAGCCCAACTGCCTTCTTTTCTCCATTGTGTCTCCAGGCTGTTAAGCACAGTTAGAGAAAATTACACAACTGTGCAGGCTGAATGTTCAACAAAACCATGATCTTCAACCTTCCACGAACTGTAGTGCTGCCCAATTATTTATCACTGAGTGGTGCTTGGCTGTTTGCTTGTACACACTAAGTAACATTCACCAGGATGTCCTCACATCCTTCAGCCCCAGAAGTTAATATTAACTACTGAAATAACAATGAAATGAATCCCTATTTTTGCCTGCTAAGGCTGAATGTCATTGGCTGACTAAAGCCCTGAGTTGAGGATTTCAAGACCACATTTGGGCCTTTATCACAGCACAAAGGGGTACTGAATGACACTGTTTAGAGCTCTCAAAGGCAAGGAGGTAGACAACTGTCAGCAGATGTGACTCGTGTGGCATGATCCTCTCCCTGTTCCACAGGCTGTCTCACTCCCTCCCTCTGGGGAAATGAAACGAACTGGCAGAACAGGCCTGCCTGTCTCGGGCTGGGTGGTCTTTGGCCTGTGAGGATCCTCTTCTAATAATTCACAAAGTGGTGGCTGTGTCCAGCCACTTGACCAAGGAGGAGGTCCTACTCCCTCCTCAAAATACTACTTCCACTCTTCCCCAGACTGAAGGCTGATCCTAACGAAGGAAATGATCCAAAACTGTCCAGAATGGGGGGCCCTGGAGAGGGGTTGTACCTTTAGTTAGGTAACTCGCTCCTGGAGCAAAGAGCCCTGAGCCATGTTGCTATAACCTTAAGACTGGTGTCAGAGCTTTGTCACATCTAAAAACCCGTCAGATATCTCTCCATTATCTCTAAGAGCAAAGCAAGAAGGTGACGGTTGAGCACTGGCTCCGCACAGAATCGTTGAGGATTCGCTGTTTAAGAAAACAAGGAGACAAGTAGAAATTTGAGCACTTGCAAGATATCTGACAATATTAAGCAATATTTTTAGGTGGGATAATGGTACTGTGGTTATGCTTTTTATAAAGAAAGAATTCTTCCCTCTAGAGAAACACAGTGAACTACTTAGATGAAATTACATGAGGTCTGGGATTTGCTTCAAAAACAATGGGGGGAGAGGGGGGAGTCGATGAGGATATCTAGAAGAAGAGATGATAAACTTTTTTTCTGGAATGAGCCATACAGTAAATATTTCCAGCTCTGTGGGTAGACATCTCTGTCACCACTACTCAACTCTGCCACTGTAGCACAAAAGCGGACATAGGCAATATGAAAATGAATCGGAGTGGTTGCATTCTTTAAAAAGTTAATGTTAAAGCCTGTAGCTGGCCAGACTGAGGCCAAAAACTGTAGTTTGTCGACCTCTGGTCTAGAGGAAACAAGAAAAGCCATGAGTTGATAATTGACGAAACTGAGTGATGGGGGTCTCAGAATACTAAGTGGTCTATTTTTTGTATGTTTCAAATTCTCCACAGTAAAACATTAATAAACAAATAAGGAAATTAACCATGTATTTTTAAGAAATATTACCATCACAAGTGCTTAAGATAAAACCATTTGGATCTTTTTTTTTTTTTTTTTTTTTTGAGACCCGGTTTTACTGTCGC